CAGGGTCACACAGATAGTAAATATCTGAGGCTGGATTCAAAAGCATGAAGATGAGTCTTCCCGACTTCAGGCCCAGCACTCTATCCACTTTACCCACCTGACCTGACACTTAGTAAGTGCCTAATATGTGTTTATTGACTTGTTATAGCTAGTAAATGTCCAAGACAGAAAATGAATCTAGATTGTCCAGACTCCGTGATCGGCTCTCCATCCACTGTCATGCTGTCTTTCCAAATAAACTGATCTTAAATGAACCTGTTCTATGTTTACTGCTTTGTTAGCTTGAACACTTGCAAGGAAGCTGAGGATCTTTGTATAAAACAGCTAGATTCTGTTGTGCCAAGGAGAAACTTTGGTTGGAACAAAATACAATATAGAGATTTTTGTTTGGAGAGAGTCCCCTTAAGACTGAACCTGGACCATCATGATAGAGGCCAGGTCTTACACATAGATTACATTTCAAAAGCTTGTCCAACATCAGCCATTATGGGGGATAAGCATGAGGGATATACTTTTAATCTACCTGCCTTGGTGATGCCCAAGTCAGGAGAGACCCACACAAGTACCAAAGCAGACAGCAGCTTAGGTAATATTTGTGTACCTGTTTGTTGAAGGTGAGTGATAACCATGGTTGCCCAGTTGTTGGAGGGCTGATGTAAAGTAATAAGTATAGAACCTCAGCAGATTCTATTGATTTGAACAGAGGTATGGGGAAGGGCCAGGGGAAGGAGGAGGAAGGAGATCCCATGGACTGTGACAAGGGTACAAATGAAAGGGTTTTGCCCACTGCTGAGAACTCTTTTGAGGAAGGGGGGACATGGATATAGAGTACTGGGAAAGGTACGTAGGAGGGCAATGCAGCTGCTACCTCAGGACAACAAAGTGATAGCATGCAGCCTTCACAGGAGTCCCCAGAGAGATACTTAGAAAAAGGGAGCACTCAGAAATTAGTAATTAAACCTACTTCTAAAACCTGAATCTACTTCTGCCCGAGACTTGCTAAACAATTGGAGTTTCTCACAGAGTAAGAAGGATGAACTGTGGAATATATGAGAGACGAAATTTTCAAATGTATAGTAGGGAAATAGAGAAAATCTAGAAAATCTAGTGCTAAGGGCAGGGAGGACATGGGGAGAGAATGACAGAGAGAAGGTGGAGCTGCTCACATCTTCCTCTTCTATCTTTCTCTATCAAGATTCTTTGAACTAGAAAGGTCAGAACAAAAATGGCTGAAGAAGTTCATAGTCAAGATAAATAGAAAGATAGTTTGAGAGTTCCTGACTACCCTTTGAGTTCATTTCACTTGGTCCTCATAAATTACATTCCAAGATACTAAAAGAAGTGGTGGATATGCTTTCTAAACATCTAAGAGATTTTTTTTAATGAGAGAGAGAAAGAGAGAAAGAGAGAGACATTGGAGCAGTACAGACATTAATTATTCTGATTTTCGAAAGAAGGTAGAGAATACAGTCTACAAACAATAGGCCAGTGAGCTTGAATTTCATTCCTGGAAAAGTTCTAGGACACATTATTCCTGGCATGGTGAGTGAACATCTCAAAAAGAAAGTTATGACCACAAAGGTTCATTGAGATTGGGTTATTCTGGACCAACCTCACTTCCTTTTTTGATGAAGTCTTACAGGACTGGTAGAACAGAGAGAGTTCTAAAGGATTTGCCAAAGTTTTGCTGTGGACAAGATAAAAACATGTGAACTAGGCAATGTAATCATTAGGGGAATTTAAGATTGGTCATGAATCATCAGGACCTAAAGAGTAGTGATGAATGATTCGGCACCAACTTGGAATAAGATCTCTCATGGTGTGCCCCAGGGATCTATGTCTTATTTACCTACTCAAGGGTGAATACAGGGACCTGCACACAGTAGGTATTTGGGGAATATGTGCTGACCAAATGAATAGGGCTTTCAATATTTTAAACCTAAAGATATAGTTCTTCTTGCCAGTGATCTCTACCGCCTTGACTCCAGCAATCTCACTTTTTTTAGACCTTTCTTAGGGTACTGGGTTGATTATGTTCCTCTGGGTAGGATCTTTTTCAAGCCATACTTCATCTGGAAAGCCCTTCCTGAACAGTTCAGCCTGACTTTGGTCGATTCTGAATGTAGTTTTTTCCTGTATTTGAATTCCTTCCATGAGTGTCGATCTGGTCTCCTCCTCACACTGGGGGCTCCCCCAGGACAGGGGTCATGTCTCCACCTCAGATCAATGGCTTCCTTTGCACAGGTGCTATTTTCCCATCAGATCAGGGACTTTCTAAAGATTGGAGCTGTGCATGTGTGTCTCTCTCAAACCAGCTACTGCCTAAGATCAGAAGCTGGGTGTCCTCCTTTCACTGGGGACTTCTTCGGGACAGTTACTCTATGTCTCCCTCAAATCAGTGGTTTCTTGATGCCAGAGCTCATGTCTATCTCTCAGATGGGGGCTTCCTGAGGACTATGTCGCCTCACTCATGGGGGAGGGGGGACAAGTCTCTCACTCAGATCCGGGGTTCCTGAGAACCAAATAACAGTTCCCTACTCAGACTAGGAGTTCCTTAATAGCAGAAACCATGTCCTTCTCTTATAGTAGGGGGACTTGTGGGGTCAAAGACTGCTCCCTTTCCTCACACTGGAGGCAGGGGTTATATCTCCCCCTCAGACCAGGGGCTCCCCAGCCCTAGTTACCCCACTTGAACAGGGTGGCTGATTTTTGAGCAGACTTTCATCTGGGGCCAGGGAGGAACATGGCTGACAGCCTAGTGGGGCTCCTCACTCCCAGCCCAACCTGTTTTGTCCAGAGTTTTAACCAGCTCCCACCCCCTACTTCAAAGAAATATGGATTGTACTTGTAATCCCCTTGTAATTCCCTCCTCCCTCCTCTTCACTAAGAATGGGTCAAAGGCTTCTATTTATTCATTCAACAAGCATTTATTAAATGCCTACTGTGTGCTAGGCAGAGTGCAGTTCACAGCCAGAGGTGCAATTCAGAAAGGCCATGATGGAAAAGGCCACCTTTCTTTCCTTCCCTTGAAAGCCCCAGTCCTTTCCCCAAGGATCAAAGACTTCTAAGTTTTTTTAATTTTTTTCTCAGAGCATTCCAGGGTCTTTGTAAAGGAGAAAGCAGCAAGCTCACTTCTATTCAAAGGCTTCAATGGCAGAGGCAGAAGGGATCATCAGATTATTAGGATCCTCTAGTCCAAAAAGAATTTCGGGCAGCCCATGAAAAATGTACCAGTTTTAACAGAAAGCAAAGACATACTAAGTACTTTGTCCATGCCCGGCTTAACCCGCCTTCCACTAGTCATTATTGTGCCCATCACGTAACTTGGCGAGTAGGTTGCCACTGAGCACTCTCTCCTGTTTGTCACGTGACCTGTGGCAACCAGCCATGACCTTTACTTGGAAAGTGAGTCGCTGAAAACCTATCTATGGCCTGAAGGAGTTTAGCCTATTTTAATTTTGGCCCCTACCTACTGCCAAGTTGTACAGGTCTGCTCTAGTCTTACCTCTCCCTTTTACAGAAAAGAAAATCAAGAGCCACAGAACTGAAAGGAATTAATGGCAGAGGCAGAGTCAGCCCTGGAACACCGGTCTCCTTATTCCCAGCCCATGAGTCATTTGGGTCTTCTTTTGCTTCATTTGAAGGCTCTAGTCTATCTTGTTGGGTCTTCAAAGGGCTCAGAGCACAGGGACTCCAACTGAGCTATGCCCAAAGACTAGTTCCATCCTTGTTTCCCTCAGACCAAGGGCTCCTGGAGAGCTGAGGGATGACTACCTCTCAGGTAGGCCGCTGGGGACAGTCAAATATAGGCAGACATGAAGGGAGAAAGGTAGAAGCATTTGCCTTTATTTGAGGCACCGAACGAGAAAAGGACCAGTTGGGTGGAGGCTGGACTGCATTTTGGCTGAGGTGAGAAGGAGGGAAAAGTCATGGATGCAGAAAACCACCCTCAGAAAAAGGTAAATCAGTGGGCCCCAGTGTATTTCTCACTCCCTCCTAGGCTGGAGGCTCCACAGGGCCTACATACTCCCCCTCAACTCTGAGGCCAGAGTGTGGCAGGAAACCCAGCTCAGCTCTTCACACCTTGGGCCCATTGTGGGGCTGACCAAGACAGCGGAGTCTGGAAAGGTAGGGTGAGTGCCAGAGGGGTGCAGCCCTTCATACACACACTCACCTATTCTCACAATCCCACGTTCACACACATGTGCATGCAGCCACATTGACACAAAAACAGATGAGGGCACACAAACCACTCACACACACTCACACATACACACACATATAAAACACATAAAAAATAATAAACAAAAGACCACATGAGCACACAGATGCAGTCATGCAGATTCATAACTGCCTGAATCACAGGCAAAATTGCCTACCCAAGAGCATATAATTACAAAAGCATGCATAACCACACATATACAAATCACACATTAATAGGCAGGTATAGCCACACATGTACACTCAAAACACATGCCCATAAAAGTCTTCCCCTCGAACCCACATACATACACAGATTTGCAGGGTGTTTCCACTCTAACCTTATATGTACTAATCTCTTAGGGCTCTCCCTGGGCCATCATGCCTGATTCCTAAACCTATCCAACTTGGGAATTCAAGGCTCTCTCAGAAGATCATAGGATTTAGAATGGGAAAGGATCTTTTAGAGTATCTAGCCCAAGACCCTTATTTTACAGGCCAGGAAACTGAGGCCTAGAGAAGTTAAGTTTACTTGCCTGAGATCCCACAGATAGAAAGTATCTCCCTCAGCCTGCAACACTATTCTCCATCACCATGAGGGGATCTGGCAGCGGACTAGGGACATTTGAGCGTGGGCCAAGTGATAAAGATTCAACAAGAGGCAGAACCACAGACAAAAGGGAAGAGAAAAAAGAAGTGTCCAGGACCTGAATTCCATTATCTCCTACAGGTATTGGGAAGGTAAGGAAGAGCTAAGGGGAAGGATAAAGGACCTTCCCAACTCATAAGCTAGGAGGTTTCCCCTGGGACCTTGGGGCAGGCTGAGGGGAGCAGTGTCAAGCACCTGGCCTCACCAGGGTGTAAAGCAAACTGAACAGCACAGACAGGCCCAGCACCAAGGAGCTGCCCTGGAGTCCACCATCATTTGAGAATATATTACACAGGGTGTGTTGGCAGCATTGAATGGTTACAACGAAGTCCCCAGAGGTATAACCACTGCCCGGACAGGTGGAAGAACAAGATTTGGTGATGTTCTTTTGTTTGGGTGCTGTATTAAAAAAAAAAGACAAAAACACAAATAAATAACTTACTGTTAACCTTGGGCAAGCGACTCCCATTCTCTGGGCCTCAGCTCTATCTCTGTAAAATGAGGAGATTGGACTAGAACATTCCTAAGGTCCTTTGCCACTCTAAGAATCAGCAGTCTATATTAGGTTTCCATGCTAACCTATTTGTCTGTTCTAAGGTTCCTCCCAGCATTGATATTCCATGTTCTGAGGCTCCCCCTAGCCCTGATATTCTAGGTTCTGAGGACCCTCCCAACTCTGACATTCTATATTTTAAGACCCCTCCTAGCCCTGATATTCTAGTTCTGAATACCCTTCCAGCTCTGACATTTTATGTTCTTCTCAGCTTTGACATTCAATGTTCTAAGGTTCTTTCCAGCTCTATTGTTTTATATTCTAAGACCTTTCCCTGCCCTGACATTCTTGGGTTCCAAATACACAGGTAGAGTTTTGGGCATCATATTTCAAGAAAGACATAAACAAATTGAAGTGTAGAAAGAAAAAGATGACCAGCCTGGTGAAAGAACTGCAGGTCACATCATATAAGGATCAGCCAAAGGAAGTGGGAACATTTAGCCAGCAGTAAGGAAGGGGATTTGAAAGATTCTTTTTCAGACATGGCCAATGTACTGATTTGTTTCACTTGACCACACTTATTGGTAATAAGAAAGGGTGTCCATCTGATGAGGGGGAAAGGAGGGAATGAGTGGGTCATGATAAAGATGCACACAAACAGCAACAATAAAATACTTTTAAATGAGTAGGAACATAAGAAAAAAGCTCAGAAGGGGACACAAACAAAAAACAGCAATGTTATTACTGTTAAATTTAACATGCTTTGTAAAGTTACATAAATTTGTAGTTTCAAAGACGTTTTTCTTTGCCTGTTGAAATGTTCATGTTTGTTGGCTGATTGATAAGCTCATAATAAAAAAAAAGAGACAGAGAGCTTAAAAAAAAGAAAGGCTATGTGGAATTCCATTGAGTTCAAATGGATTGAATTCCAATTGAGTTCAGTTGGATTCCACATATACTTCTTTTTTTTCTTTTTTTTCTTTTTTTTGGCTAGGCAATGGGGTTAAGTGACTTGCCCAGGGTCACACAGCTAGTAAGTGTTATGTGTCTGAGGCCAGATTTGAATTCAGGTCCTCCTGAATCCAGAGCCAGTGCTCTATCTACTGTGCTACCTAGCTTCCCCCAACATGTACTTCTGCTGCTGCTCCCAGAAGGCAGAAGTAAGAGCAGTAAGAAGGGACAGGAAAGTTGGAGGGAGGCTGAATTTGGTTCTCTATTAATAAGAACCTTCTACCAATTAGAATTTGTCTCACAATGGAACTGGCTGCCCCTGGAAAGCAGAGATTCCGTTTTGGGGGGTCTTCAAGCAAGGGATAGATAACCATTTTTGGGGGTGTGGTAAAGGCTGGGACTAAATGATCTCCTTGCATCCCTTTCAACTTTGAGATGCAACAGTTCTGTAACCTCAGCCCAAGTCTGATCCCTAACTCTACTCACAAACTGAACTTTGGTCCTACCACCAAACCAATATATGCCATGAATCCCATGGGACCTCTGAGAATATGAATGACACATCCCTGCTCAAGGTGGCACAGCTTGGCACCTCCTTGGAGTCAGAGATGCTGTCTTCCTAAAGAAAGAAAGTGGTCACAAAAGAGAAGCCAAGAGGAGAAGGGACCCAGAGGGGTAGTGGGCTACAGACCTGACTCTCCCTTAGAGTTATCACTCACCAACAGTTGATGAGATGACTTCGGAAAGGCAGTAATTTTCATCTATTGCACAATAGGAAATCTTCATACAATTAACAGAGCTCTTTTTCATGTTACATGTGAAACACATAAGAGCATGAGCTGCAAGGGAAAGAGAAGGAAGAAAAACAAAATCACAGGAAAAATCCCCTTCCCTATGCCAGCTGAGTCAAACTCAAATAAAAATGGCCATCTAAAAGTACAAAAGTATCCCTGAAGGACACATATTGACTTGGAAAACTGCAAATTAATATTATCTATGATTTATTGCATTTTAATTTATTTTGTTAACTATTTCCCAATTACATTTTAATCTGGTCTCTTCTCCCACCCCACCCTCATTCCCCTTGGATACTTATGCCCTCTTCTCTGTAATCTCCTCAAGGAAGCACTCCCAGGTTTTAGTGGGCTATAAGTTCATTCAACAAGGTGATATTGTAGCCAAAAGAATTAACATTATCCTAGGAAACCTCAAGAGGGATACAATGTCCAGAAAAGTCTGGTGATGACTTTTTGTCCTTTGCTATGTTCACAGCATATCTAGAGGGTTATGTTTAGTCCTTGGTGTTACATTTTAGACAGGATTGTCCATTTTGGCCAACTGGAGAACATCTAGGAAGCATAGTGAAAGGACTAGAGAAAGGTCAGGTGAAGGAACTGGTGATAGATTCACATGTTTGAAGAGCTGACACTGGGAAGAGGGATTGGACTTATTCTTTTTGGTCCCAGAGGGCAGAACTAAAAGCAGTAGGTGGAAGTGGAAAAAAAATACCTAACAACTGGAGCTATCTTAAAATGGAATGGGCTTCCTCAGGGGGCAATGGGTTCTCCATCACTGGGAGTTTTACAACAAAAAAGATGCAGGACTATTTTCATGTTATTGAGGAATTCCTACACAGGTAGGGTTTGGAACAGATGACCTCTGGGGTCCCTTTCCACTCTGAGATTTTGTGACACTGTGAGTGATTTTGAGAGAAAGTTTAGGACTTTGGATTCCTGAAGCCACTCTGCTGTCCCCTAACATTACCACCACCCTGGCATGGTCCCTCATCACCTCACACCTAGACTATTGCAATAGCCTGCTGATTGGTCTCTCTGCCATAAGTCTCTCCCCACTCTGGTCCATCCTCCACTCAGCTGTCAAAATGACCTTCCCAAACATGCAAGTCTGGCCGTGTCATCCCATTTCAACAAACTCCACCATCTCCTAACTTCCAGGGTCAAATATAAAATCATCTGTTTAAGCATTCAAAGCCCCTCATAACCTGTCCTCTTCCTATCTTTCCAGTCTTCTTACACTTTATCCCCCTCTTATTCATGTACTCTTATCCAAAAACATTTGGCTTCCTTGCCATTCCTCAAACACTCCATTCCATCTCCTGCCTTCAGGAATTTTCAGGGGCTATCCCCCATGCCTAGAACTCTCTTCCTCCTCATTTCCACCTCCTCCCTTCATTCATGTCTCTGCTGAAGACTCATCTTTTCCAAGAAGCCTTTCCTGGTCTTCCTTATTCCTAGTGCTTTCGCTTTGAGATTGTCTCCAGTCTACTTCATCTATATCTTATTTGAACATAGTTGGTTTGCATGTTGTCTCCCCTATTAAACCATGAGCTTCTTGAGATCCTTTTGGCCTTTTTTTGTATCTCCAGGGCTTAGCATGGTGCCTCACACATAAAAGATATTAGCTGACTGACTGAGTGACTGCTCATTTCTAAAGCCTTGGTCATGTCGTCCTGCATGATTGACGATTAAAATGTGGGCTTTGCTAATTCTTATACTCAAGGCACGATGGTGTCTCAAGTCCATTTATTCCTATCCTTTCCTCCCCTTGAATCGTTTACCTCTTTTCTGTGTGAACAAATTCCTTGACTCAATAAGTTGTCTCTCCCTTCTTTTTTAGCAGTTTGGGAGCTCTCCACCACTCCATCCTCTCCCCTACCTGCAAGAAGCTCTCTCAGACTAAGAAGACAGGGGCCAATTTCCCATGAACGCAGCTTGCCTGACCCTGTGACTCTCCACGTTGTTACTCATCTCATGGAGGGGCATCTCTGTGCCTTTTCCTTTCTGGGTTACTATTTTTATTCCCTCAAAGTTCATGAAGACTCCAACCCACATTCCTGAGGGCCTTAAAGGCCCAAATCTGTGTCCTTATCCATATAGTCTGAAGAAAAGAATGGGAAAAATTCAAAAAACAGAAAGTTGGTGATGAGAATGAAGAAATTTAGTTAGGTTCAAGAGCCAATTCTTCCACTGACTGTGATCCTGGAAAAATCACTTTTTCTCTCTGGGTTTCAGTTTCACAATCTGTCATGTGAGAAGGTTGGCCTAGATATCACAATCTGCCTCCTATCTGCCTTTAATTTCACATTACTTTCCTTCACAAACTCTGTCCCTGTAAAATTCGATTACTAATGATCTGATCCTCTCTACCCAACATTCCACCTCCATACCTTCGAATAGGCTGTCCCCTATGGGGGCCCTTCTTCCTCACTACAACTGCTTAGAATCCTGAGACTCTTTCAAGGCTTGGTTCTTAAGCAGCTTCCTGTGGGAAGCCTTCCTTGATTCCTCCAGTTGCTAGTCTTCTCACCCTCATCCTCAAATTACCAAGCACCTGTTATCTACATGGTGCATCTGTCCTATACAGTGATGGCTCCTTGAAGGCAGAGACAGTGTTGATTTTCCCCAAGAAGGGACCACAGTGTCTGGCACATAGGAGGTACTTGATAAATGCTTATTGGATTAGATTGGGACCTTCCTAAACAATGCAGCAAAAATAATGGTGACAAAGTCTCATTTCCACATGACTTCAGGTTTTAAAAAGTATGTTCCTCACAATAATCCTCAGGAAAAAAATTTTTAAATAGTAGACAATCCAAAATTTAACAAACATGCATTAGGTGCCTACTACATACAGGAGCACTATATTAGGTGCTGGGGAAAATAAAAATAAAAATGAAACATCTCTGCCCTCAAAGAGCCTACATTTTCAGAAATAACACCACAGACGATCTTAGAATCTCAGAATCTGAGTTAGAAGAGGCTTGAGGAGATAGCTAGTCCTATTCATACCTCAGTAGGAATCTACAGCTTCTTTGATAGTCTTCCAGCCTCTGCTTAAAAGCTTCCAGTGATAAAGACACACCTGGCTTTCTAAGGCTCCATTCCTCTTTTGGATCACTTCTAGGAGAAGGATTGTTTTATATTACTATATTAAGCTGAAACTGGTCTTCCTGCGACACCTACTTCTGCCCTCTAGGTCTGAGCAAAACAAGTCCACCAGGACAGGCAACAGAGACCCTCTGACTTCAAGCCGAAAAATCAATGGATCTGGAAAGTATTTGAGTAAACATGAGCCCAAGGGGTCAGCTCACCTCGTTCCACGAAGAGCAGGGCAACCAGCAGCACTAGCACGAAGACCTTCATCCTAGAGAAGACGCAGGTGGGATGTCTCAGGGCTGCAGAAGGAGTCACTGCAATCCTAGGACAGATAATGAGCCATCAAGCAGCCCTTCAGTCTCTCCCAGCTTCCTACTACCACTAGAACTAGGGTCTGGTTTCTTTTTTTTTATCTGAAATAATTATTTGTATGTACTACTTTCTATTCTATTTTGCATCCCAAGCAATGTCTTATACATGAAAGAAACATTTGTTGAACTTATTTGAACATGATTAGCATTGTGGTCCAGCTGCATTAAAATAGCTTTTTTTGCCATTCCTATATTTTATTTTTTTATTTTAATTAATTTATTTAGTTTTAGTTTTCAACAATCACTTCCATAAGCTTTTGAGTTTTAAGTTTTCTCCCCCTCTCTCCATGCCTCCCTTCCCAAGAAGCTGTGCAATCTGATATAGGCTCTACGTATACATTTCTATAAACATTTTCACATTAGTCATGTTGTAAAAAACGATTAGAACCAATAGGAAGAACCACAAAAAAGAAGAAACAACAAAACAGAAGAAAAAAATATCAAATAGTATGCTTCAATCTGCATTCAAACTCCATAGTTCTTTCTCTGGATGTGGATAGCATTTTCCGTCATGAGACCTTTGGAGATGTCTTAGATCTTTGCATTGCTGAGAAAGGCTAAGTCTATCAAAGTTAGTCATCACACAACATGGCTGTTACTGTGTACAATGTTCTCTTGGTTCTGCTCACTTCACTCAGCATCAGTTCATACAAGTCTTCCCAGGTTCCTCTGAAGCCCACCTACTCATCATTTCTTACAGCACAATAGTATTCCATCACATTCATATACCACAATTTGTTCAGCCATTCCCCAATTGATGGGAATCTCCTCAATTTCCAATTCTTTGCCACCACAGAAAGAGCTGTTATATATGTTTTTGTACATGTGGGTCCTTTTCCCATTTTTATGATCTCTTGGGGATACAGCCCTAGAAGTGCCATTGCTGGGTCAAAGGGTATGCACATTTTTATAGCCTTCTGGGATAGTTGCAAATTGCTCTCCAAAATGGTTGTATCACGTCACAATTCCACCAACAATGCATTAATGTTCCAATTTTCCCACATCTTCTCCAACATTTATCATTTTCCTGTTTTGTCATGTTAGCCAATCTGATAGGTGTGGTGTGGTACCTCAGAGTTGTTTTGATTTGCATTTCTTTAATCAATAGTGATTTAGAGCATTTTTTCATATGACTATAGATGGCTTTAATTTCTTCATCGGAAAACTGCCTATTCATATCCTTGCCTTGTTTTGTACTTGGCAGGGGGCACACATCTGAGTGGAGGCCAGGGGCAAGAGCCATTGGTGCGCACATCACCCCCTGCGTCTTCCTCCTGTCTTAGCTATTTACTTTCTGTGAACCCCAGCATCGGTGTTAGAAGAATTTACTACCCAACACTGAGCTGAGCCAGGTACTGGGGGTTGGGGAGGGAAGTGAAAGAGTAGGATGGTTGGCATGACTAAGGAAAAGAAGGGACTCAATTGTTGTTTCCCTGGCCTGCCAGTAACTTTTACTCTGCAGGGGAGAGACTCCCTCCTGCAATGGGACAGACATAGTAGATTGAATCTAGAAGGACTGGAAGGCACGTGGGGGACCCTGGAAATTCAGCAGCTGTGCATAGGGGTATCAGTTTTCCTATCAGATGACCTGGGTTTGAGGGCTGACTCCTTTGAGGCACAGGTCAGAGTTAGAAGAGGAATTAGAACACAGAACTTAGAATGTTTGAGATGAAAGGGACCTTAGCCCAGCCCTTACAGATAAGGAAACTGAGGCACAGAGAGGCTAAGTGTCCAGGTCTTTTGATTCCATGTCCAGTGCTTTTAACATTATTCCATGCTTTCTCTTTGGAAAAGGGGTGGGATGAGAGGCTGAGGTTGACACTGCGCATTGGGATCTATTTTCTTACAGGGAAGCTAAGAAGATTCAGACTGGGGAGTCGAGTAGAATGATGGGGATAAGGATGTGGGATTGGTGTGCTATGTCAGGGTCTTTAAATGAATAGAGCACACTCATCTACGATACTGGAAGACAACCTAGTGTAGTGGAAAGAGCACTAGATTTGCAACACAGTAGCTATGTGCCTTTGGACAAGGCATCTCTGGGCCTCAATTTCTCTATCTGTAAAAATGAAGGATTTGGAATGAATGATATCTAATGGCCCTTCTAGTTCTGATATCCTTTATGACTTGACATCCTATATAAACTGAGTCAAAGGGGTAAGGAATAGGAATCCCTGAAAGAGGCAAGAAAATTGTTTGATATTTCCTAAAATGATGATGGTGGTGATAGCTAGCATTTTTGTAACACTTTAAGGGTTGCAAAGCACTTTACATATGTTATCTCATCTGATCCTCACAACAACCCTGGGAGGTAAGTACTATTATTATTATTTTTCTGATGAGGAAACTGAGGCAGAAGAGGCTGAATTAGTTGCTGTCTAGGGATTATCCAGGTTGTTTTTTATTATTTGTTATTTATGAATGAATAGTACAGAACCAAGAGTTAATTTTTCTATCCGTTGGGAGTCCCTAATTATGAAAAAAAATCAGAATGCAAATGAGACAAGCCATGATCAAACTCTCTGAATTCTTTACCTCCAGCTCTCAGGGTCCCCCATGTGCCTTCCACTTGTCCCTCCCACTGAATCCAGACTATGAAGCCAATGAGAGGATGGAGAGAAGATGAGGCCCCTGCTGATCCCATCCCCTAAAAGAGCTCAGGGAGTGCCCACCCCCTTCTGTCTTTATTAAGTTCTTCACTTACCTTCTGTCTCTACAGGGTCTCTCCCCTCTTCCCTGTTCTTTTCCCCTTCTAGATTCAAACTACTACATCTGTCCCATTGCAGGAGGGGGTCTCTCCCCTGCAGAGTGAAAGTTACTGGCAGGCCAGGGAAACAACAATTAAGTCCCTTCTTTTCCTTAGTCATGCCAACCATCCTACTCTTTCCCCTCCCTCCCCAACCCCCAGTACCTGGCTCAGCTCAGTGTTGGGTAGTAAATTCTTCCAACACCGATGCTGGGGTTCACAGCAGGTAAATAGCTAAGACAGGAGGAAGACGCAGGGGGTGATGTGCGCACTAGTGGCTCTTGTCCCTGGCCTTCAATCAGATGTGTGCCCCCTGCCAAGTATAAAACAAGGCAAGTTTAAAAAAAGCTGACATCATGGTTTCTCCAAGACTGAGAACTAACTAAACCTCAGCTCCAGCCAGCTGCTATGGGGAAGACTCTACTACCCATAATCCTAGGAGCAGAATTGATGGACAGAGATCTATCTCCAGACTAGCCAAGAAACAGAAGCCATTCCCTGTTTTCTGGACCTAGTCCTTTCCAGATACCCCAAAGTCCTCCCTCAAGGCCCAAACCTGGATTTCCTCAGGCCACCACCACTACTGCAACCCTACTCCTTGAGGACTATAGCACCCTCATCCCGGAGTCCAGATTCCCCAGTCCTAGCACCTCAGCTAACCTGGGCCTCACCCGGACCCACAGACCCAGGGAAACCAGCTATCCCATTCTCGTTGGCAGAGCCTCAACGCCCACACCGTTCCTCCTCACCCCCAGCCCCCATGAACATCAGTCCCCTCGAGACTCCCCGCGCCTGTCCACCCCGCTGCGGCCCCCCCCAGATCTGGGTCCTTCTCCCTTGTGGCACCCACAGAGTTGGTATTCCTTCCCCTGCCAAAACTCTTTCAGACATGCCCATGCCAGCCTCGCCTTCTACTCTAGAGCCTCCACCCCCCATCCACCAGACCCCATAGCCACAATCTCCCCAGTCCAAGCAAACTGATTTTCCGTCTCCATGAGGACCTGTGGTCTCACCCCCGATCCCTCAATTGTGCCTGAATTGTGCCCTGGGCTCAGCCAAGGTGCATGCGCGAGGAAATTCAGTCTGACAATGAACAGCGGCGGCATCCAGAGGTGGTCCAGCTACGGCGCGAAAAGGAATGGGGCGGGGCCTTTGAACACTAGGATGCCTTAAGTGTCTCACCTGGAGCTAGGCATGAGAAGGAAAGGGGGAGGAGCCTAAGAAGGGTGGCAAGTGGGAGGAGGTGGAATGGAAGAAGGAGGGGCCAAGATTGAGGGAGACTATCCAGGCGTCAGGAAGGACTAAGGAGGAAGGACACGGAGAAACGAAGGGGAGCGAAGCCAAATGTGTGTTGGGGAGTGGAGTGAGGATTGAGGAGCTCTGGTGGCGCCAAGGGCCCCTGCCCACTCTCAGCTCAGGACAGGAAGGGATTCTGGCTGAGATGGGAGAAGGCGGGGAGAGTTGAACTATATGATCTCTGAGATCTTTTCCAATTCTAGGTCTATGATTGCATGGCCCATCTCTCACTCTCTGAAAGAAACCGAAGTGGAGAAGGGCAAGGACTTTGCTCAATGTTAAGTCAGAGACAGGAAAGGAACTAGAATGTCATTGAGTCTCAAGAGAAGTGCATTAGGGGGGTAGCTAAGTGGTGCAGTAAACACAGAGTACCTGGAGTCAGGAGGACCTGCGTTCAAATCCATCTTCAGACACTTGCTAGCTGTGTGACTCTTGACAAATTACTTAACCCCCAATTGCCTTTTTAAAAAAATTGATTAAGAGCAAGAAGACCTGGGCTTGAATCTTGGTTCTGATATTTACTACCTGTGTACCAGGTAGTAATGTGCCGCCTACCAAGTGGGGGTAAAGAGGAGGCCAAGTCATTTGCCTGTCTGAGCCCCAACTAGAGGGTCAGACTAGATGGCCCGCTCCACAGTCCCATATCCCTATAGCATTTTACCCTAAGATGTATTTTTTTATTTTTTTTTCTTCTTTTTGAATTGGAATTTAAGTTCCTTGAAAACAAGGAATGATTGTGTCTTTTGTAACTGAATCCCTAGCGCCTAACACAGCGCCTAGGACATAGTAAGTACTTAATAAATTGCTTGTTGATTGATTGATTTAGATTGGTATCAGAAGTATTATCCATTTAA